CAATGCGCGGTTTTATCTGTATTAATAAAAAGCGATGAGAAGTGTGGGAGTGCCACAAGCATTCGCACTACGCTGTCTATAATTACTAATCTTACATCCATGATCACTGCCCACAATGATCAATCTTGCACGCAAAAATTCACATTTAAATGTATTCTTTCATTCAATTTAAGCACCATTTCATAGTTTGAAATTCACTGAGAATATGAAAGTATTAAAATCTAAGCTATGCAGGTGACGAAAATTACAGCTTCTTGGCAAAGTTGACCCAGGCTAGAAAGAATCAGGCTTGCTGGTACGTCATGTTTTTTGGCACTAAATCCGCAGATCGTTAATAGCAGGAATGATTCCTGCGCTGAAGCCTAACACTTGGGCTCATATTGGCCGTGCTTTGATCTCTTCTGACGTGCAAGTGGAAGGACGTCAGTTGGGATGAAGTTATTGCATTACAGAGCCGCATGAACCTCCAGGTACGTGATTATCGTTTTTCTGCATGAATCCCGGTCGTTTTTCTGGTAAAAGCACGCTTTTGAAGAAACGAAAAATGCAAATTTTTGAAAATGCAAAGATTTTAGCTCTTCACTGAAAAGTGGAAACGTTGCTAGAGCTGTCATTCATCAAAAAATCCAAATACGTAAATGAACTGGACGTTGGGAGGAAGATGAAGGCGGTCGTTCGCTGCAAGCTGCACTCGTTTCTAAATTCGCGATAAAGTTAGTTATTTCTCAAGCCCACCTAAAGGGAATTTTACCTTCAAGCAGAATTAAAACCGCATTTGAAAGTAGAATATTCCAGCGAATTTTCAGCCTCGCACCATCTCCAGTAAACGAAATAGCCTCTCAGCTACAAATATCTTTGAAGTGCCCTAAGTCGTGGCGCAAGTGCAAGTCGGAACTCAATTTAGGTGTACTATTTTCCATATGGACGATAAATATTCTGACAAAATTTCAGCCACTGTTCTTTGGCTAGGTTTCGAGTTAGCACAGTGTCAAATGCAAACTTTGACATGACCATACGCGCTGCACAAGGGTGCACGACATCTGAATTTGTAATCTTAGCTTGCACATGTATAGAGATTATCCACGCAAAGTTTCAGTTTTGTATTTTGCCTGGTTCGCGAAATCGTTACCTGCCAAAGAAATTTGCATATTTTTTGGGAGGTTCGTAAGCGGGGTCCAGGCGCGTGTGAGGGAAGATTTTAAAAGGGGAGGGTGACACGCGGAATAGGAACATATACCCAAAGTTTCAGCCTCCCAGCTTTTCTGGTTGCTGAGATGAAAGTGTGTGACAAAGTTCACTCGCTTCTGAACACACATACAGACAACTTCTCGACAGTATGCACTTTTGCTCGCTGTAGGAGCGCTATAGCGCTGTATAGTAAAAACGCATAACAATGCACAACAAATACAAGGACATGCGCAGAAGGCGATTCATCAGTATGAAATTTACGAATTTGCAATAAGATAAAAGCGCATAAAAAAGTGAAATATAGTACCTCGCAGCAAAGCTTTGACTGCGTGCCGGGCGCACAGCCGGTATCTGCTTGATTCGGATGAAAGGTGCGAAAGCAACTCGCCTGGAACAAACACCACTTAGAGTTTTTGTTCAGCCGATGTGAGAGCGCACCTGTTTGAATAAATCCTTCTACCGTCTTTCTTCTTCTGGGCCCTCCTTCCTTGCGTCCAGTGATTGGTAGCTCTATGATACTCGATCAGAGAATAAGGAAAATTCATTTTAAAAATGAGTGATAATAGCGACAAAAAAATTCACTTTTTGCCTTGGGCGTTGAAGTGAATCACCGTTTAAACAGATCTGATTAAATCTGAAGAATTTAGTTAATCTCAGAGCAGGAAGGTGTAAGTGGCTGAGATAGGATAGTGTCCTTTTGTGGTAGTGCTGCTGTATTGGTACTCTGTAGCAATAGAAATATCAAACGCGTACAGTACGGCAGCGTGATGCAACGTATAGTTGAATTCCACAAAAATAATTGGCCAACGCACGGGCTGCCCGTGCGAACATGCGTTTTTTGCAGAGTTCCCCGCAGTTTTTGTCGCTACCGGCATCGGTTTTTTCGGCAGATGCTTACTGAAAGAATTTCAGACTGGCCGCCAGAACTGTCAGGAAATATCCCCTCAAAATTTCAGTCTTCTAGATGCGTTTTTTGCAGAGCTCCCCGCAGTTTTTGTCGCTTTCCCGCAGGTTTTTGTCGCTACCGGCATCGGTTTTTTCGGCAGATGCTTCTAGCTGAAAGAATTTCAGTTCTCCGCAGTTTTTGTCGCTACCGGCATCGGTTTTTTCGGCAGATGCTTCTAGTAGAAAGAATTTGAGACCTGGCTGACCAGAACCGTCAGGAAACATCCCCTCAAAATCCCAGTTTTCTAGCTTCTCATGTTCTCGAGTAAGTAACTTATCCGGAAGGAACTTTTCACGAGCCTGTACGTAGGTGCCACGCTTACCCGCGGGCAGGGTTTGAACTCATTAATACTCACTTAGACAAGGAACACCCCCTAAGATTTCAGCTCTCTAGCTTCTCAGAACCCTGAGTTACGAATTTACGCGGGAAAAATTTTGGGGTGCCTACCACGCTTACCCGGGAACTGAATTTGAGCTCATTAGTACCTACTTGGACGGGGAACATTCCCATAAATTTTCAGCTCTCTAGCTTTTCTGGTT